TAATAACTCAATAACCACGCCTCGGACAACTTTTTCGCAAAGGAAAAAATTGTTTAAAATCACCTCAGGAACCTCCCATTAAAATATGTACCACTAGTCCTGGGACACCCTGTATATCTCCTTACATATCGCTTCATCTCTGGGAACCAATAATCGGCTTGCATTCTAGTTAACGTCTTATCTAACCCCACATGACCTATGTCATCGTGACAATACGACGTAACTTGTCTTCTTACTGCCCGCACTATCCATTTTACTCCGGACTCTGTTTTTCTATATATTCTACTATTCCGACGAACGTATTCTTTAATTTTCCGTTCGTCCTTGTCGTTATGGTCGCGATCCAACACCTCATTAATAAATTGCAGTCTACGGTCTTGCAATTGCGCTAATAGTAACAAGTCATTCCGCTCGATACGAAGAATACCTATGTCTTGAATCTCCTCTGCATTCAACGCATCGACTATCGCGTTACGGCTAAGAGCGTCGACGTGTGCCATTTTTGCGCCATCCCTATACTCGATCGTACAATCATACTCTTATAACTGGATCCACCATCGCCCAATTCGTGACGAGAGATCCCTTTTGACGAATGTGGCTCGCAAAGCGTTACAGTCACTTATTATTTTACTATTTACGGAATGCCTACCAAAAATACCCGGAACCGATGGAGACTACTGATTACCGCTAGAGTTTCCAGTTCATACGAATGATAACGCTGTTCCACTTTTGTGGTCTGTCGACTGAAATAGGCCACAGGCCTCAATTGCTTATCATCTTGTTTTTGCAAAAGGATCCCGGTCAAACCCCATTTACTTGCGTCTGTATGGAGTTCAGTCTCCGCCGTTTGTTTATACAACGCCAGAACCGGCCGCGATGTTAAAAGATGTTTCAGGTCGCAGAACGCTTTCTCTTCGTCCTCCCCCCACTTCCATATCTCTGCTTTCTTAGTAAGATTAGTAAGAGGCCAGGCAATTAGCGCAAAGTTTTTAATAAACTTTCGGAAATAACTCGAAAGCCCTATGAACTGTCTAACCTTGTGTACATCGCTTGGTGTTTTGAAGTCCACGACTGCTTGAATTTTTCTCTTTCCCGGCCTTATGCCTACCTCAGAAATCTCATATCCCAGAAAATCAGTTTTTCCCATTAGGAACGTGCATTTGTCTAGCCGAAGAATCAAGCCTACCTCACGTAGCCTTTTCAAGAATATTTCTAACTCTTGTATACCCGAATCTACATCTTTCGACGCTATGATGTAATCATCTATATAAGCTTGAATGTTGATCATCCCTTTAAGAGGCGCGATAATTTTCGAAGCCATGCGTTGACAAACAGCCGGCGCGTTCACTAAGCCAAACGGCTGCGACAAAAATTCATATTGCCCGTCTGGTGTCACAAACGCTGTTTTCTCTGTCGCGTCTGCCGCAACTGGAATCTGATAGTAACAGCGCTGCGTCCATGCACGTATACCGAGTTGCGCCTTGTAGATTGTTTATTTGATCCTCTATAATCGGTAGGGGGAACCTATCTTTCTTCGTTATCTTATTTAACGCTCGATAATCGACACACATACGCGTTTCTCCGTTTTTCTTTTTCACAAGGAGAATCGAACTTGCAAAAGGAGAGTTTGAATCACGAACTATATTATTTCTTTTTAATTCTTCGATTAGATCTTTTACTTTTTCTCTCTCTGCGTAAGATAAACAATATGGTCGGTAATATACCGGGGTTGAACTTGTCAGCTCAATATCAATCTCGGCCAAATGCGTCCGTCCGAACTCGCTCATATCCAACGCAAAACAATCGCGATACCGATTCAGAATATCTACGAGTTTTTTTTCTGCTCTGATGTGATATCGTCACCGATCTTTATTTGGTCCGCGGGTAATTCTCGCGCTTTGTCTCTTTTTACTGACAACACATTTAATTCAAGTGCACTAGTCTCGTGTATAACATCCGCCAGTGCAACTGTTCGATTTCTTTTGATCTCTAAAGGATAATCAGATAAATTAATAACCAGCAATCGCCCAGTTTCGGTATTTATCACGCAACATGCGATGCAGTGTTCTGCGTTTTCTTTGCTACGCCAACTCAGTTCGACGAACAAGTCGCCTACGTAATTGTCATTTTTAACTGTTACCTCAATATTTGCGCCATGCCCTGGAGGTATCACCGTCGCATCCTTGACCCATAGAGCTATCTTCCTGGGAGGTAACCGTTCTACCTCAGGTGGCGTAGAACTATTTCCTTCGTACAGCCGCAACAGACCCCCTCGCTATTCGACCACAACATTCCGTTGATCAGTAAAAGGTTGCCCAATTATCATCGGTACATCCTGCAGGTAATCTGGCACAACGTGTACGTCGACCTCAGCTTCGACCAGATCCACCTTCAACGTCATCTTCGCAGTGCCATAAGGGTGTACTATGGCACCCCCGTATCCACGTAGAGCACCCGTCGTCGGCCGCACAACCAATTCCAAACGATCGGCATCCGTCGTACATAGAGTCACTACCTCGCTTCCCAAGTCGACATAAGCACGCAGTGGCTGTCCGTTCGCTCTTATTTCAACGAAACGTTTATCAAGTCTCTTTCCCGAGCTGCCGATGCTTAACACTGCACCTTTTTTCGGTAAACTGTCGGTGCTTACTCCACCACGGGTCTCACTTTTTGCTTTGCAGTCTCGTGCGTAATGCCCCTTTTAGCCGCACGCAAAACACCCGCGACTGCCCCCATCGCATTTATCGTTCCTCCAGTCTTTCTTCTTCTGTTCCTCGCGGTTTTGAGGCCCGTTCGAGTTAAACTTATTCCCGTATCTTTTATTTCCCCTGATCGTGTCCACGCTTTAATTTCCTTTAAAGCTATGCGGCGTATCGTATTTGGTCAAGAAAGCCCGCAAATCGTCTGTATTATCAAAATCTGATGATCGTATAGCCGCTTGTATCGCACTGTCATAAATACCGTGCGCTATGCACTGCACTGCATTTCGACCAGAGAAGTCACACGCCGCCACCAATGCCGCTTTATCATAGAAATAAACTGCCATATCCTCGTCACGACGTTTCGTCCTGTCCAACATCTTCAGAAGTCTTGCAGGAAGCTCAGTTCGATCTTTGAAAGCTTCTGTAATCTTCGCATTCCGTTTCTCCCATGTCAACACGACACTCGGCAGTATCTCGTACCATTTTCGCGCCAATCCTTGCAACCTCGCCGTCATAAACGTGGAAGTGGTAACGTCATTCCACTTATATAACTTTTTGAAGTCTTCTATCTTCTCTAACCACGTTTCAATTGTTTGATGTGCGTCGCTCGGTACGGCTCGATCAAACGTCGGTATGGAATTCCTAGCATCATGGCTAACTACGCTTTTACAGGTCTCCTCGCGCGGTGGCTGACTCACGCGAAAAATGATTTCAATTGTTTCACGAAAACTATTGACAATATCCCGAATGTACTCCGGAGGACACGAGGGAGAACGTCTTCTTCGCAATCGACTCCGCGTTTTTCTCTCCGCGAGCTCGTGCGTGATCTGTTTCTGACGGGATTCAGGACCCATTGTCTTCTTACTTAACGACTTCAAGATGGCACTTCAATAACACTAATTTAAGGTGTTGCAACACTCGCGATCGCGAACAGTTTCCGTCTTATTAATTTCATAGCAAAGGCCCGCTGGTGAATCCTACTCCTGATCTGTTAGAACCTTTCGACTACTATTTATTTATGAACAAAACGGTTAGAATTAAAGAATGCTTCGTATGATGTCTATGCTTCGTCTCGTGTGCCTGACGCCAGACCGCCTGCCCCTCGTCCTGTCGTCGAGCCTATCCGTCGCGGCGTTTTTGTTTATTCGTCTGGTATCGGCTACAACGGGCCAGTGACTTCGCCGCTGATTGACAGGATCGTAACTATCGGACGTCGCGTTCAATTGTAACAGGATAATCCCTTGAAAATTCTGTCTAACTGTGTTATACTTCTGTATAATTGCAAACTATAGTGCAGGCCATTATTCTAAAAGTTCCGACCTTTGTGAAAAGCGTACCCGCGCAAAACCACTTAAAAGGGTCATGTGTATGATCTGGCACGCACTGAAGGACCTGATGAACCGTCAATCCGCGCACGCGAATGTTTGCGTGTAAAGTGAGAAGGAAAAAGAAATGAAAAGAGGAAAAAAGAAATGCGGTTGTCTAGAGCAGTGTTTCCCAACCTTTTTTAGGCCAAGTCCCACTTTTTTTTTTTAAACTCTGTATGCCCTCCATAAATTTTTTTATTGAAGGAATATAAATGATTAGTCATAGGAGTTAAATCACTTTTAAATTTAATAAAAACATTAAGAGTATTTTAAATTTATCTCATAAAAATTAAAATGTTCAAATAAACAGATTTTTTTAATTAATTTAATGTGATCCCTGAGCTTGATGCTTACTGCAAAGAGATTTTATATTTGGTTCTAACTTTGTCAACTTTAATCTTAAGTCTCCACGTTGCGTTACATCCAGACGATTTCTTTTTTTTATTAATATGTCATTTATTGCACTAAATCCACATTCAGCTAAATATGATGAGGGAAAAGGAAGCAAAAGTTTCCTTGCACACTTTGTTATGGTGGGATATTTAGCTTCCGTTTCATCACAAAGCCATGTCATCGCTCCTTTGATATTGAACAAAGCGACAATTGACTCGTCGTTTTGCAATTCTGCAAGCTCCTCTTGTTATTGCAGATTTGTTACGTCGCTTAAATCTACCAAAACAGGCTGCATTATCCATGTCGGAAATTGAATTTGTTTCAAATCAGAAAATCTCTCATGGAAATCGGTCGATAAAATACTTAAATGACTTTGAATAATATGGAGAGCAGTATCAAACACTTCAACTTTTTGAAGCCAGTAAAATTGTTCAAAATTTCGGACATTAAAACGATTTTTGCTCAGCTCTAAATTTGTAATAAAAGCAAATATCTTTGCTTTGGCATCAACTAGTGTCTCATTTGTACCCTGAAGTTGCTTGTTTAATATATTGAGCTTATCGAAGATATCAGCTAAATAGCTTACATATGCTTTGCTGTCTGTTGTAAGCAAAAATTTCATTTCTGGTTTGTCGCCTAAAAAATCGCTAAGGTTATCAATTAGCTCCATAAATCTCCTTAAACAGTTTCCTCTGGATAGCCATCTAACTTCAGTGTGAAGCAAAAGTCTCACATGGTCTTCACTTTGTTCTTCGCAGAATAGTTTAAAAAGACGCTCGGATTTAGAACTGGCTTTAATTGAATTTATGCATTTAATAACTGCATTGAGGACTTCATTCAAAGCAGGCGAAATGTTTTTAGCGACAAGGTTCTCCTTGTGGATTACACAGTGCACAAAAATCATTTCTGGATTCTTGTCTTTCATCAATTTTAAGCACCCATTGTTCTTTCCCATCATACTTGGGACACCATCTGCAGCATAGGATGTTAAATTTTTCCATGGTATTTCATTAACATCTAAGTAACTTTTTAATTCGTTAAAAATATCTCTTGATTTTAACGTGCGTCTCAATTTTCTGCAAAACAACATTTCTTCTGCAAATAGTCCTTTGTCAATATATCTCACATGTGCTATAAGAACAGCCTCACTGTCTCTCAGGGTCGATTCATCCATTTGAATCGAAAAATTTCTTGTTTTTAATTTTGCAATGACTTGCTTTTCAATATCATCACCCATCTCATCGATTCTACGGCCGACAGTATTGTTACTGAGTGGCATCGCCCTAACATTCTCGTCATCTTTTTCTAAAACCGTTTTTAAAAATGCCGATATCGATGGTTTAATTAAACTCTTTCCTATTGTGTGATTTTTTCCTGTTTTGGCAATTAATAGGGATATTTGGTAACTAACTTCATAGACACGACTATTTATTGGATTTCTAGACTTAAAAAGAGACTGTATTGTTGTTCTTTTTTCAAACTTTTCCTTCAACTTTTGAAAGAAATCTAAATCGGAGTTAATATGTGTTTCGCATTCAAATGTGCTTCAAGACGACCTCGTTTCATCGATTCGTTGCTCAAGCATTGCTGACATTAAACAAAACGACATTCCTGCATCATTGATAGCGGGTATGAATCCAAATTTTAAATACTCCTCTGAATATTGACGAGTTTTTTTCTTGTTTGTTCCGCTCAT